AAATTATAGATTATAATTGTGTTTTTAATACGTAACATTTTGAGGATTTTTAAACTTATCTATTTAAATAATTTAAAGATTGATTAAGCCAGTTTCTTAGAATAAGCAGTATCTTCAAGACTTCGATAAAAATTTAAATTTTGAATGGCAATAATTAAATAATAGGATTAGGTGAACAGAAAGGATTAGATATATAATACAATTAAAATGTATTTTATATAGAGCTTAATATTGCAGGAAAGAAGAAATCTCAAAAATACTACCAATCTAATAGTTAAATTAAAAAAGTTAATTGAAATTGATACATAAATCAATTTTAGCTTTATATGATATTTCAATAGATTTAAATATATTCGATTAGAATAATAAGTCTTTATTATTTTATTCATATTGAATATTATTTGATAAAAAAGATGATTAAATATTCTTAATTATTATTAGGCCATCCTTTGATATTTTATGATTTAAATCTCACTATAATAATAAGTTATTTTAATTTGGCAATTTCTAAATCTTGCTTATCACTATGTAGAGAATATAAATTAAAATAATAATCCTGAATCTCTAAATAAATTAGATTACTAAAAATAATTAAAACTTAACTAGCCAATTATTCTTTACTTTCTCATCTCAATTATGTCTTCATCAGAAACCTTTGTTTATTCAAAGAGCACCTGAATAATAATTCATCAACACTCAAATTTAAAAATTTTTAAGCGGCTCTAATTATTTTCCTTCCCGCTTAACCAAAATTTATACTACTGATAGAAAGAGGATTTCCTATTATGATTTTCAATTAGAAGCTCAATTTTTTCTAAAATATCTTTTTATGAATCATAATGGCTGCTACATCAAATTCCCTTAAAAGATTTCAATTCTAGGAAAATGTAGCAATCTATTTATTATAATCTTATAAATACTTGCGTTAATTATTCTCTCATTCCTATGAAGTATCACTCACTTTATTGTCTGTACAATTATCAAAGTAAAATGGTTTAATATCTCAAAGGATAAATTTATTCGGGTTTTTTAGGGTTGTTATCATTTAAGCCTTCAACAAATATCAAAAAATAATGCTTTCTAAAATTAATCATCAAGCTTTTAGACATTGATATTTCTTCCTTATTTTAATCTGTTGAAATTTTCATATTTATTTAGATTGGCTTCGACATTATATTTTCTATAACAATGATAGAAAAAATTATCATTTGATAATGAAATTTCTTCAAAATTACTTTTTGCTTTCATTAAATTCAAATGCTTTAGAATAATATATAATCTTTTACAATTCTTAAGAGTTGCATGCTTTACTATATCAATAAGTTTTTGGTTTATTTTATACCGGATTGTTCAATCTGAATAAACCATTAAATGAATATTCTTTTAAGCAGAAGGATTTACAAAAAGACAACAGTATAAACTTGAAAGGAAAATTAAGAAAGGATTTACATCAATAATGCTATTCCATATAGCTGAATAATAATAATCTAGTAAATGAAATAATTGGTTTATTTTATAATGCAAAATTAAATTTTGCCTTCACATTTATGCATTACTATTAGAAATATTCTCAACTTTTCTTCTGTAAAAATAGAAGCTTGATTTTATCTCTTCTTCTTCTTTCTCATGAGAAGTTTTTGAATTTTTCTGTTTTTAACTTTTATAAATAATGATTAATCTACTTTTTTAGATTTTTTAAAGTGTTAATTACGGAAGTATTCTTCACTTATTTACTTGGTCATTATTTTTATTCTGATACAAATAAAAGTGAATCTTATTAACAACAGTATTTTAAATAATTTAATTGTGATTTTATTATTTAATTAATCCTAACTAAATAATTTATAAAATGAATTTAAAATTATTCAAATTTTCTCAAATATTGAACTTTTATTCATCATTTCATTATATTTTGTTTAAAACAGAAGCTTCCGAGACATATTTCAGATCACAGTTGAACTTTAATGCTTCGTCTAAAATAATAAGTTTATTCCAATTGTTTTTCGTAAGAACAATCAGGAAGAAAGCTTTTTATATTCAAAACATAAACAGAAAAGCAAAATTTTCAAAATCTCCTATAATAAACATGAAAGAAAAATTTCTGAAGGAACAATTATATATTAACTAAACAACAAACTTCATCTTTTCAAAAGCACACAAAACAGCCAATTTTTCAATTTATTGATTTTATCTGATGAATACATGCTTATTTATATTGCTATAATTTTTTCGTTTTCTATAATTACTTAAAGTGATTTAATACAATTTTTATGATATATGTCATATACTTTATTCAAAATACAACCATAATCTAAATAAATATTTATAAATTTATTTCATATTATTCATCATCAAACTGGTATATTATCCAATAATTTTATTTTAGAATTATGAGCAACTCCTATACATGGATATAATTCTTATGATGTATCTATATCCAACTACTAATAATCGA